AATAAATAAAATAAAAATGAAGCCAGATCACCAACTTACACCATACACAAGAATAAACTCCATATAAGCATAACCAATGGACACAGACAGTAGGGGGGAGAGGGCATGTACTGGGGGGTGGGAGTGGCCGGGGAGAGGTCAATGGGGAGAAAAGGAGATATATGTGATACTTTAAACAATAAAGAATTTAATTTTTTTAAAAAAGAATAAACTCAAAATAGATAAAAGACTTAAATGTAAGTCATAAAACCATAAAAATCTTAGAAGAAACCATATGCAGCAAAATCTCAGACATCTCTCATAGCAATATGTGTTTTTTTGTTTTGTTTTTTAATATATTTTTATTGATTTCAGAGAGGAAGGGAGAGGGAAAGAGAGATAGAAACATCAATGATGAGAGAGAATCATTGATCAGCTGCCTTCTGCACGCCCCCTAATGGGGATCGAGCCTGCAACCCAGGCATGTGCCCTTGACCGGAATCAAACCTGGGACCCCTCAGTCCACAGGTTGACGCTCTATCCACTGAGCCAAACCGGTTAGGGCCATAGCAATATGTTTATGAATACATCTCCTAAGGCAAAGGAAACTAAGGAGAAAATAAACAAATGGGACATTAAAATAAAAAGCTTTTGCACAGCAAAATAATCCATTTACAAAACATAAAGGGAGCCCAGTGTATGGGAGAACATATTTGGCAATGATACATCTGATAAAGGGTTAATACCCAAAATGCATAAGGAACTCATAGAACTTAACAAAAGGAAGACAAACAATCCAATAAAAAATGGGCAAAGGACCTAAATAGACACTTCTCCAAAGTGGGCATACACATGGCCAAGACACATGTGAAAAATGTTCAAAGTCACTGATCATCAAGGAGATGCAAATTAAAATGACAATGGCTCACACCTGTCAGAATGGCTACCACCAACAAATCAACAAATGACAAGTGCTGGCAAGGATGTGGAGAAAAGGGAACACTAGTACACTGCTGGTGGGAATGCAGACTGGTGCAGCCATTATGGAAAACAGTATGGAGTTTCCTCAAAAAAGTAAATATGAAACTGCCCTTTGACCCAGTGATCCCACTTCTAGGAATATATCCTAAGAAACCCAAAACACCAATCAGGAAGAATGTATGCACCCCTATGTTCATAGCATCCCAATTTACAATAGCCAAGATCTGGAAACGGCCCAAGTGCCCATCAGTAGATGAGTGGATAAAAAAGCTGTGGTACATCTACACCATGGAATACTATGCAGCAATAAAAAAGAAGGATCTCTTACCCTTTGTGACAGCATGGAGGGACCTGGAGAGTATCATGTTAAGCTAAATAAGCCAGTAAGAGAAAGACAAGTATCACATGATCTCACTCATATGTGGAATCTAATGAGCAAAATAAACTGATGAACAAAATAGATTCAGAGACACAGAAGCATAGAACAGACTGTAGAATCTCAGAGGAAGGAGGGGAAGAGTGGGTGGGAGGGAAGAGATCAACCAAAGAACTTGTATGCATATATGCATAGCCCATGGACACAGACAATAGGGTGGTGAAGGCCTGGGGGTGGGGGCCGGGGCGCTGGCTAGAAGGGGTCAATGGGGGGAAAAGGAGGACATATGTTATACTTTCTACAATAAAGATTTAAAATCAACAAAAAATAAAAACTAGATGGCTTATTCTCTCTCACCATGATTGTGGTCAGATTTTGGGGATGGGTCTATCAGGGCTTCTCCACATGGTCTAGTCTCTCTGCGGGGACTAGTTTGGGCTTCTCTCCTGGTGGTGGCCCCACACTGCGTACACTGCCACCTGTTAGTCATTTAGTAGCTCTCTTGGTTCTCAGCTTGACTGTCACAGTCTCGCAGCGCTTGTGTTCAAGTCACCCTTATTTTACTTAATAACGGCTCCAAAGTGCAAGGGTAGTGATGCTGGCAATTCAGGTCAAAGTGAAGCAGCAAAGTGCTTCCTTTAGGTGAAAAGATATGTATGTATGTATGTATGTATGTATGTGTGTGAAAAAACATAGTAAATATGTTTAGGTTTTTAGGCATTCCACAGTTTTAGGCATTCACTGAGGGTCCTGGACCAGGAACTCCATGGATAAGGGGGGACGTCTATATTTTCCTTCTGTTTTTAAGTGACTGCCCCCACCTGCTATCTATGCTAATTTTCTTTTTCCTTCTGGATTAAGGCTACAGGGAGCCTTACGACAATTTCACCAGATTCTCATTCATTTTAAAACACAGTCTTGGATATTAGATCATCCTTTGAAATGATTGCTCCTGTTCGTAGGTGTGACAATGGTACTGTGGGTGAGAGGGTGGCCTAGTTCTGAGAGGACACATGGGACGTATTTAGGAGCCAGGACTCAGGATGACTCAGCAGATATCGACGTGTGTGTGTGTGTGTGTGTGTGTGTGTGTGTGTGTGTGTGTGTATTTAGAGAGAGAGAGGGGAAAAACAAACAACATGAGATGATAACAACTGCTGGTTCTAGGTGGACTGAACCCTGATTCCAACTTCCTAGGGGAGGGAAAGTTCTCCTCTCTTGAGAACTCTACCGTCTGGCACTCCTTTCTCCGCCGCATCCTTTTCTGAGGTGTGTGGGCTGTGACCTTGAACTTAGGCTGGGGTAGTTGGCCACTTTTGTCCTCAGCTTTGGCCCTGGTGGCAGTTCTGGAGGTCCTGGGAAAGTCCAATTCAACATCCTATTACAGAAGGCTGAGGGCAGAGACTCCACTTGGCTCCCAGCAGCTGACGGCTGTGAGTCTCACCCAAGGGCACGCTGGGAGACCTTTGGGAATGTGTGGGGTGGTTTGTTATTGCCACAGTGTCTCTGGGAGGGTTGCTTTGGGCAGCTGTTCTCTAACTTTTTGACTTCATTTCCAACTGCCTTCTCCATCCCTCATGACACCCCAGCCCTCCCGCCTGCAGTGTGTTCCCAGTGCGGGCTGTTCCCCTGCCAAGGAACACTGCTCCTCAGATATGGGCGGGACTCCTGGTCAGGGCTGGGGGGCCATACATTGTGTTGATGAGGCGAGGTGACCTGCTAGGGCAGGGATGTTAACTCGGTTGTCCTGGGTCTACTGACGTTTCTTTTTTATTTTTTTAAATATATTTTTATTGATCTCAGAGAGGAAGGGAGGGGGGAGAGAGAGAGAGACATCAAAGATGAGAATCACTGATTGGCTGCCTCCTGCATGCCCCCCGCTGGGGATCCAGGTGCCCCGACCAGGAATCCAACAGTGACCTTCTGGTTCATAGGTCGATGCTCAACCACTGAGCCACGCTGGCCGGGCTCATCATTGATGTTTCTCTCTCTCCCTTCCTCTCTGAAATCAATAAAAATACACTTAGGAAAAAAAAAACCCACCAAAAAACAAACAGGCGAATCTTATGAAATGTATATTATACTTCAATTAAACTATTAAGTAAAACAAAGCAAAATATGGGTTGGGGACATAAATGAATGCTCTTAGGAGGTGCCCTGCCGGCACCTGCCTCACTCTATGCCCTGCCCTGGCGACACTGGGGACACCGTGGTGACTGAGACAGCCCTGCCCCTGCCCTCACAGCCCACCCGACAGCCCAAGTGGTGGGGCCTGGATGGGGAGGCGCAGGCGGAGGGGCTCGAGCCAGGAGGGGCAACAGACAGAAGGGTCCGGGCTGCGATGGGGGAGGGAGCTGGACGAAGGAGCCGGGTTAGGAGCAGTCAGGGAGGACTTCCTAGAGGAGCGAACGGCGGAGCCAGAGCTCCAATTTTAAAACACTTCTGCCTTAGATCCATGGCTGGACTCCCGGCCGGAGCCGCGAACGCGGCGCCCCGAATTCCCGCGGACAGGCCACCAGGGGGCGCTGCTCTGCCGCGCTCGCCGCAGCGCCCACGTGCCCGCCGCCGCCGAGGCCCGGGGTCGCTGGTGCCGAGACCGTCTTCCGAAGACATCTGCGTCTCCGTGGGTGGCGAGAGCAGCTGAACTGGAAGAAGGGCGCGGACCCGCCTGCGGCGACGCCCCACCTCACATTGCGAGCTCACCGCTTAGGGCCCC